TCGTTAAGATTATTCGATAATTAGGATTCTGTGATTGCAGCCACCATTTCGTCTTCATTTGTGTTAATCTTGCCAAAAAACTTATCGAGGTGTGGGACTCGAAGAAAAAACCATTTCATCATCTAGATGCACTGGTGGCAGTGTTGAATTGGTAAGCGATCCTAATAACATATTATTTTCTAATCACACATATCGCTTTCTAATGTTTCTCCTTTTAATGTTGCTCAGTGTCCGAAGAAGGCATATCGGTGGGACGCAGGTCCCATTTAAGGTTGTCAAAATGGAGGGGAAGTACCTAAAACAGCCGGCGGGAAACAATGAATGCGGGTTTTATGTAATGTGGGCAATGCTTGCCTACATCGGTGGGAAATCGGAAGAAGCCGATAAGTTGGTGTGTATAATCCCCATTTCATTTATGTCTGTTAATCATTTAACAAAATGATTTACTGGTTCCTCTTTGGATATCATCTTTTTTGAATGACAGCGCAAGAAATAAAACCACGAAAGGCTGTTAGACATGGAGATCGTCGCGCTGCAATCGGAGCTGGCAAAATTCATCTTAGCCGAGGTATTGGCAAAAGATGGAGTATTTTCCACTGCACAATCCATGAAGTTCAAGGACCAGTATGGCCCAGAGCGGCTCGCTAGATTATTGTAAGAAGTCCGAGAAGCATTGCACAATCTGTGAAGTCCGAGAACATTTCTTTTTTATTTTGAGGGATCGAGATCTTGATAAAAACATTTGAACGGTAACCATAACATTTGTAATGTTTAATATTGATGGACCAGTCGTCTAAGTAGCGTATATAAAGCGAAACCCGATTCCACGGAAAATATAAATTAAAATAAATTATAAAACAATAAAATGCGAACGTGACATCACTGCCGGTTAGCAACAAACCGGTAGTGATGGCACTGCCGGCTGGAGCCACAAACCGGCAGCGTTGGCTTAGCCATCACTGCCGGTTCTTGTCACAAACCGGCAATGATTCGTATGATAACACTGTCGGTTCAAACACAAACCGACAGTGTTGGTGGAAATGAACTCTACCGGGTGGTCTTATGAACCGGCAGTGTTGGTGGAACTGAACTCTGCCAGTTGTGTAAAGAACCGGCAGTGAAGTTGAAGAACACTGCCTGTTTGTAGGAACCGACAGTGATAGCATACCTTCATCACTGCCGGTATGGTTGTGCCGGTTCAAAATCCAGCAGTGATGGGGTATTTTGAACCGGCAGTGAAGTGCAATTCTGACGTAGTGGTAGGTCGCTATAAGGACTTATACCGACTCTCCGTAGGACGCTATAGATGGGCTGCGGTATAGTGATTTAGGCAACAAACAGTTGGATGATAGAGCCCTCGTTAGAATTTAAGGCTCAAAGCTACACACGTGCAGGATGGCTCTTAACACAGTGTACGATTTTTATATTAATATATCAACTGTCAATGTATTGATACCGGGTACCCACACCACAAGAAAAATGCTCAAATGGGACGGGGTGCACCAAGCAGGCTACACGAGAAGCCCAAACCAAACGGGTATGCCAGTGACTTGGAAAACAAGTTATCAACTATAAAGCCTTGGAAACCAAGATATTTGCACTGATCCGATAGGTTCCTTTCCTTGTAACAAATTAGAAAACTCACATGTAAAATGATTCGGACTCTATTTGTACCTCATCATATGTTGTTGTTCTTGTTCACTCACTAGTTGTTAAGAGGTGCCTCTAGTAGCTTGTGTGCTTCTATGGTTGTTAATTAAGCTTGCTACTTGATTTGTGTAGGAAGGCTTGCTTTAGATTGAAATGGGCTAGGCAACTAGTAGCTATTAGGTTTTCTTTTATACTAATATACTTGCCTAGTGTTGTTTTCTTTATAGAAATTTTAGTAGGCTATTCAACTCTATAGCCATCCATAGATTTTTTTTCAGCGGCACACATGGACGGTGCAACACCGCTGAACGTTTGGAGCCCTGCCTAAAAGCATCATGTCAGGGTAGGTTCGCTAGCGTGTCCTGGTGCAATCTCATTCGTCGAGGCCGTCTGACTTCGTCTACAGCTGCACTACAAAAAAAATCGTCTTAATCCATGATGGAAAAATTCTGTCATGAATCACTAGGAAATCGACACAAACTAGTGTCTGATGGTTTTAGTATCATCATGGATTGAGCGTCAAGGATTAACCTGTGTGACGGTTTTTCAAAAACCATCACAGATTAACACAATTTATGGTGGTACTAGACCGTCATGGGATAGCCCAAGGCCTTAGCCCAACCCAGGCCCAATGTCTATGAAGGAAAATAAACGACGTCGATCAATTGCCACATCATTATGGATGCTTACGTGGATGATGACGTGGCCATTTATTAACAGGCTAAAATCAATGTTTTCAGCCCATTTTTAACTTGTTTTTCAGCCTATTATTACAACGTTTAGACCATTTTCAATCAATTGTCAACCTATTTTTCAGCCTCGTTTTCTTCTTGTCTATAAACTCTATCTCATGTTTAGGCAATATGCAATATGAAAAGTTATTGCAATTCTGATCGACCAATTTGAATTTGTTGCAGCCAATTGCCACCTGAATTTGTTGGCAATGCGCTTTCGGAATGATAATGACTCTATGGACTCAATAATGGCACTATTCATACAGTCCATAAGATAGTAGTAATAACCTACTAAAAACATTCAGTAAAGTTTGAGGCCAGCGAACTAGTCAGCATTGAGACGTTTTTGCCGAATAATAAGATCATCACAAGTTCTAAACTACCCGCCTATCCAAGTGTGGGGGGATGATTGCAGACTATACATCTGTGTCTGATATAATGCCAACGTCACGTAGTCTTAGTCTTTCCCAGAGTTTCATACTTTTTTTTAGATAATGGATAAAACATCCGGCTTCATCTACCCGAGGATAGAATCAGGCCAATTATTATAAACACCAGATCCAAGACCCTTGCCCAACTCAAAAACTTAGAGGGCCACAAAACATCCAAAAGGATAACAAAGTTAACACCGAAGAGATCCTGACAAACGCTAACCAATAAATCTGTTCGATAACCATCCATTGGAACTAAAGAAGTAAAACGCGGACGTCTCTAAACGTTGCCCCGCAAGAAGCTGAAGACGAAGCTCCTCACGTCGCTGCAGCTTTGCCCATTGCCGCAGCCAGTAAGTTCCCCGGAATAGAACCTGCAAAAAAAATTTTGGTCTGCACTTGTTAAAGACTACCTCATTTCTTGTTATCTAAATGGTCCAACATAAAGCTGAAGCTGCAGTTAAAAACAATGAATTGCAAAGCTTACTACCCCGTTTTGACCAAATAACAAAAAGATCATCTATACTCAGTGGGGTTGGTAATCCAAACATGAGATGAACAGCGCGCCATAAGAATTTAGCGTATGTACAGTGGAAAAAGAGATGTTGGATCGTTTCTGGACAATGGCAAAAAGCACAACTTTTGTCACCATTCCAGTTACGTCTAGCAAGGTTATCCTTAGTTAAAATCACACCTCTCTTTAAATACCACAAAAAAATTCTAATCTTTGATGGGATCTTAACCTGCCAAATATCTTGTGACACCCTTACCCCATTGTTAATTAACGCAGCATACATAGATCTCACTGAAAAGGTACCTGGTGAATTAAGTGTCTAGCGAAATTTGTCCCTTTCCCCCTGTAAGTTTATATTTTGAAGAGAAGCTACAATCCTGTGCTAATCTCTTAAATTCCTATCCACTAAATTTCGTCGGAAGGAAATATTTAAAGGGACCGTTGCAATGTTGCCACATAATCCTGTTTTGTTCTCGCTATATTAAACAACGCGGGAAACTTATCCTTCAACGGTTTATTACCTAACCAGGTATCAAACCAGAAGCGGATTTGGGACCCATCTAACACCTTGAAAGTGCCGAAACTCATAAAGGTATCTTTAACTTTCATCAGACCTTTCCAGAAATGTGAATCTGTTGGTTTTTTTGTACAGCTCCCAAGTGGTTTATCTTTTAGGTACTTATTTCTCAAAAGTTGTTGCCAAAGACCTTCCTCATTTAATAATTTATATAGCCATTTACTCAACAAACATTTATTTTGTAGCTCCAAATTATGTATGCATAAACCCCCTTGGATTTTGGGTTGGCACATTAACTCCCACTTGGCCAACCTATATTTTCGCTTATGTTGATCACTTTGCCAATAAAATCTTGATCTAAAGCAGTCTATTTTTTCTAAAACTCCTTTCGGTATTTCAAAGAAGAAGAGCATCTCAAGAAAACATGGCCCTGGTCTTCAACGTGATTTGAGCATCTGCGGCAGATATCGTCATCCAGAACATGCTTGGCAAAGAGATTGATCCGTGTACTCAGCCTGTCCTTGAAATATAACCAGGCAAAAATCTCAACTTTATTTGGAACTCCCATTTTCCAAATACGCTGTCCGATCAGGTCCGGCGAGCCTTGATGGGGTTCAGGAGCGATGTATGCGTCCCTGGACGTGTATGATCTGCCGGTGAGCTTCAGCCGCCTATCATCCGGTTCATCTCCAAGAACAATGCCCGGCAAACAAGTAAGAAGGTTTGCTAGCAGTACTGGTTTATCTCGGGTGAAGGCACACATCAAACCCAGCTCAGTATACTACTAATTTTTCACCGTGTTGCACCGGCACAAATCAATCCCAGCTTGGTGAACCTGCTACACCGAAATATTAGGCCGTAGGGTGTGTAGGAGAAGAGGGCTGCATGACATTCTGTAAATCATTATGTGGAATCTGCCAGAATTTGTGAACAATAGAACTGAAATGCATAAGCCATCTTATTTCATTGTGTTACACACATATACATAATTGATTTTATTTACTTCACCATGAACTACAAACACAATAACATAAAGAAAACCCACAATTACGTGGGCTATATATATAGTAATGCAGGTAGGCAAGCTAGGACTATATGTATGTCACTGCAATTCATCATTTAGGCAAACTTCAGTTCCTCTTTTAATGCAAGTATCAAGGGTAAACCTCGATAACCGAAATCGGGCCCATCACCGGTGTGATTTTGTAGTCGTTGAATCCAGCATCGCGGAAAATCTTCTTCCACTCATGCTCCTCTCGCCCCACGCCGCTGATGCACGTGAGGAACAAGCTATGCATCTCTTCTGTCTCAGCAACTTTTGTGTCACGATGAGGCCCGGACCCCAGCACCATCTCTGTGATTACCACCTTTCCTCCGGCGTCTCTTGCAGGGATAGCATCCTTGCAATGTTTAAGAATCTTGGCGCAATTGTTGTCGTCCCAGCAATGCAACACATACTAACACATAAAACATATTAATTTTTCCGCAATAAAACATATTAATTAGTTTCATTTATAATAACTATTATTAGTAGCAAAACTGTCTGTGCCTTGAAACAGGTGGTGGTCACTTAGGCCCATCTAGCAGAGTTGGGACGTCTAAGCCCAAAATGGATGACGGAAGGAAATCAAGCTACCATTATTAATGGGTCACATAATCAATCCTTGATTTGGAACTAGTAGAGATATATAAACATCAAGGCCCATAATGAGCACTATGTACAGTAAAACACTAATACCATATAAAAAGTTGACTATGAATTGACTCGTGTTGAATATGAATTTTACTTTATTTTCAGGCGACGGTTATTGTACATATTTTATACTAAAATTGTAGATTTCCTTCATTGCAATTTATGTAGGCGCAATCTACAATTTTTGTTACAGAGGATAAAGAACCCGTTAGACAACACCACAAATTAACTCGACAAAATATAATTTGCGTTGGCAGAAAGACAATTAACAATTTACAATTATTTCTATAGGTAGACATGGACAAAAATTTAATATGCTATGACACAAAGACAAATAACAAATCACAAAAATAACAATTCACTTGTATTAGTTGGTGGTACCAAGGTGTTGTCTGAAATATCTTAAAATTTAAGCACCTGAAATATAGTAGAAGTGGTTAAATAAATAGCTATTACGTGTACGACTATTTGCATTGTGAGGTTAAAAAAGATGGAAGACGACCTCCATGCTCACATGGCCAGATCATGACAGGAGTAAAAAAAAATTTGCAACTCCAAATTATGGCACGAGTGAAACGTTTTGCAGTCTGTACGTATATCTGTGACGTTCAAAGGTAGTCAAACACGTGCATGATAGAGATGGAGTACGTGAAGTTCAATTTGTTGCATTGCTAAACACAGGGGGGATCGATAGGATTTAGGAGTGCTGCTACTTTGATTTTATAAAAATATAAACATTTTGTTTGTATAAACATTAGTTATATAAACAGTTTGCTAAACATATATAATTTGTAAAAATGTGTAGTGATCTATAAATGCTCGAAAAGTAATTAACTAGCAGAATTATGTCGCACTCCTACGCAAAAGAGACGCTCACACAAGACATACATACCTTGAGTAAAACAGCATCCGCTGTTGGAATGGACTCGAACATGTCGCCGGCAACAAACTGCACGTCGCCACCAGCGACGGGGGCGTCGTCAACGACGTGGGGCAGATCCATTATGGTGCACTTGATGCCCGGGAACGCCGCCGCAATGGCCTTGGCGAAGGAGCCCTGGCCGCCGCCGACGTCCACCAGCGAGGTCAGCCCGTGGAAGACGTCGCGGTGGCCGCCAAGAACCGCCTCGATCAGCAGCTGGCTCTCAGCAAAGGCGGCGACGTTCATCGTGTCGTTATCGTCGTTCGCTGGGTCCCACCGGGAGCGGCCGTGCGTCAGCTCGAAGAGCGACTTGGGAGTCTCCGGCTCCGGCGCCGGCGCGGTCCGGAGCCACGTGGGCATGTCGAAGAACGGGGTGAGGGAGACCGGGCCGCTGTCGAACCGCACCATGTTGGATAGGCTGCGTGGGCCGACCACGAGGCTGGACGCCACCGTGAGCCCGTACGACGCCACCTCGCCGCCGTCCGCGGCGGTGGCTCTGAAAATCCCGGACGTGGTCAGCAGCTTCATCAGGCACCGCAGGTCGGGGAGCCTGGACTCGTGCACCCCCGCGTCGTTGGCGATCTCAGCCAGGGTGGCGGCTCCGCCACGGCCGTGGATGGCGTCGGGGATGCCGAGTTCCACGGCGCATTTGAGCGCCATGGTCTTGATGTAGCTGAAGGCGTGGTGGTAGAGAAGGGCGAAAGCTCCGACCATGTCCTCGTCGGAAGGCACTGCTTGCTGCTCGCCATGGACGAACGCCATTCGCTCGCTACTTCGAGCCTTCGACTACTGCTCTCAAGTGGCTAGCTTGTTTGTGTCGTGTTAGTTTAGTTGCTACTGTAGCAGTGCGGCTTGGCCTTGGTACAATACGCTGCTAAGCTACTTATAGGGAGTCTGTGATGGACTCGGTCTTTTTTTCTTTTCTTCTGGGACCATTGCGTATGTGACATGCCACTTCTTTTCTTCTGGGACCATTGCGTGAATCGTACGGTCAATAACGTTGACATTGATGATGGGAATTTCTATATTTGTATTAATATCTTTGAGTAATAAAAATAGCTATATTAAATTATACATGTTTTCCCCTTTGTTTATTTTCACTCCTTTTATACTTTTAAAAGTATAATAAAAACTTCAAGTCGTAGACTACACTCTTAATAAGTAATAAGACAGCATAGACAATAATTTAAAACCTGCACCACAACGCTTAAGATCATTGGTAGAGCTTAAAGGAGGATCTAGGATGTGTAGTTGTGCTAAAGGATATGAAAATTTAAGCCTTATAACAACTATTTACTCCAAAGAAATCTTAAAGGACAATAAAATATGGCTACATCTGGTCTGAACTAACCTACCCTAGTTCTCAAGGTGTTTGAAATTTTTATATCAAAGATATATGTATACTAATGGTTACACTATTAATATAGATATGCCAATCATTTAAGTGATAACTTGTATAAATTATATATTATGGTAATAATATGATTTTAAATAATTTGTTAATATAAATTAGTATAATAGTCATAAACGAATCAAGATTGTTAAAACATAACATATATTTATATCTCGCAGGTATGCATATTTACTTGATCTGTATGACGAAACACCATGTATAGTAAGTTTAATCAAATTTTAAAATTTTAATATTAATAGAAGTGGACAATGTGGAAACATATATATGATTTTTGGTTATTTAAATAGTTTTTGCAATAGAAGATATTTATAGTTTAGATGTAGGTTTGAGGGGACATTTTTAGTTTATTTAATAATCAAGAAGTGGTAATTTAAACATAAATTTAAGGGGTTACATTGATTATCTATCATAATAGCAATTGAGCACTTAAATGCAAATTTATGTTTACTATAGATCATATATTTCTTGTGCATTGCAACAGCAGAGATTTAATCCTGCATTATGTTGAGTTGCTCTTCATTTGGTACATAATAAATTGTATAAATTACAAAAATGCTAAATGCCATAGGGATAAATACTAATATTAATCGGACTATTTGGTAGTGAAGGACTGAAATAACGACCAGAGCAAGGTTGAATGTGATCAAATAATAACCTTCGTCAAGGAAGAACTTGGTCTTTGTCCCATTTACCACATGATACACGTTCTTCTAATAGGCAAGATCACACACGCCAACTAGTGGTATATTCACCTTTAGAAACGATTAGAAATTTCTCACAGTGGTGTAAAAGCAAAGACAAAAGAGCTACTAATTACAGGCTGAAAAGTACTAATTAACATGTGAAATGAATATCAAGCTCTAGATAAAAGCATGAAAGAACCACCGAAAGCTGGATCAACTTACGTCAGAAAACAATGAGCTGAGCAAGCTGCACTCGCAAATCATGCAAAAAGGAAATAATTATTCCTTGTGATTCACGATTGTTTTGAAAGTGACACATCGCACATAGGAGGATGGAGTTTGTCCCGAGCTGCTACTGCTGCCGTGTCTATGAATGAAAAGAGGTATAGTTACTAGCATGCAAATGAAGCAATCACCCAAGAGAGCATCGATTAGCCAATATAACTTTGAGTTGACAAAGAACCTGAGCTGCCGAACTGCTGCTGGGGATAGCAATCACCCAAGTGAGCAGTAGTACGCACATCCTTGTTGAGCCGTTGTTTACCCTCAAATTAATAGATGTCACTAGCTAGACCACAAATAATGCATGCACTACCAGAAACAGTAGCTGTGCCGTGTGCCACTGCCTAAAAAACACTCGGCAAACAGCACACGGCATCTGCAGTGCCGGCAAATGTCTCTTTGCCGAGTGTTTTTTATCGGGCACTCGGCAAATACTTTGCCGAGAACTGAAACCGACGCTTGGCAAAAAAAAAAGTAACATGACAACGTAGAGACTGTCACGGCGCGTTTGCCGAGTGTCCGGGATTTGACGCTCGGCAAAGCAGCCATGTTTGCCGATTGCCCAAGCCCGGACACTCTGCAAATATGCCCAGGTTTGCCGAGTGTCCAGGCACGGACACTCGACAAACTTGGCTGATTTGTCGAGTGTCAAATCCCGAACACTCACAAACATGGCTGCTTTGCCGAGTGTCAAATCCGGACACTCGGCAAAGACTGGCCCAAAATGTACAGATTTTGGTCACGTGTCCTCTTTGTCGAGTGTTTTTACCTTGGCACTCGGCAATAGGCCTCTTTGCTAAGTGTAACACTCGGCAAACCGATCATATATCACTTTCATTTTCACACTGTGCTTGTGTGCGGCCGGCGGGGGGTTGATCGCGGCCAGATTAGGGGCACTCGACAAACACAGTTTTTTTTTCCTTGTTTTCCTTCTTCTCCGTAACGTGTTTTTCTAAATTTGTTCCAATGTACTTTGAAAATACCTTGTCAAATTCAATCAACAATATATATTTGATTTTTCTACGAATATTATTCCATTATTTCATGCAGTTATAACTCAAATTCAATTTATATCAATTAAAATTCTATAATTACACTTAATAAATTAAAATTGTCAAACGGATCCAAAAAATTACCAAAACTTCACATGAAACAATCTTTGTTCTCTATTGCCTATACAAAAAGTTTTGAAGCCAAACCCCAATTTGACAGTCACTTTGACTCTAAATCTTACCGAATCCTTCTCAACGCTACGATTCTTCTTCTGAGATGCTTGAGTTTGTAAACATCGTACGTGACAAATTGCGAGAAACCATCTCAATTTTTTACCACGGCCTCCACGTATGATATCATCACATCATGACAAATCTCATAATTTTTAGACTTCGTTTGCTTTTTTTAGAATTTAAAAATCATTCTGCCACACGTTCGTGGTCGTGTTTCCTGAACAAGATGTTCGAAATTTCTTTTCATTTCCCTGGTAAGGCCTCACAATGGACTTAATAACATGAATATCATTTTTCTACTCATTTTATTCTATTATTTGAATCACTTGGAGTTCAAATTTGACTTATACCAAAAATTCTTTGAAATACAATAAATTAATTAAATATAGCAAACGGGTCCAAAAATATACCAAATCTTAACATGGTGTACCACATGTTGTATGTGGAGAGCAGAAAAAGTTTCAAGGTTAGAAGAGAAAAAAACTTGTTTCTTTGCCGAGTGTCAAACAAATACACTCGGTAAACATATTTTTTCCCGAGTGTTTGGCACTCGGGAAAAAATATGTTTGCCGAGTGTATTTGTTTGCCAAGTGTTTCTACTAACGGACACTCGGCAAATGTACTAACTGACGGCACACGGACTAACGGTTGTCCACGTGGCGGTTATTTATCGAGTGCCTAGCTTTTGCCGAGTGTTTTTTTTTCTGGTTTGCCGAGTGCTAAACTTTGCCGAGTGTTTCTTTGCTGAGCTGCTACTGGTGCCGTGTATATGAATGAAAAGAGGTATAGTTACTAGCATGCAAATGAAGCAATCACCCATGAGAGCAACGATTAGCCAATATAACTTTGAGTTGACAAAGAACCTGAGCTGCCGAACTGCTGCTGAGGATAGTAGGCTACTCTTTGCACAGCTATTGATGTCCCAGCAAGAAACTGATGAGGGGAAGAGAAACCTGACGGAGAGTTGCGCTATTGAATAAAATCAGACAGTCCGGCCTGTAGTTTCGGTGCAAACCGAAAAGGACCCTTACATTGCAATCAGCAAGAACAAAAACATTCATCACTGAACTTTTTGAGAGGTTCTCTCCGTGCTTGCCACGCGGTCATTCGTCACTGAACTCGAGGGATCATAAAGGACAGCTGCTGTGTAGGCCAACACAGAGGAAACAAAACACTGCTGAGGGCAAGAACAAAACATCCTGTAGCAAGAGCAACAACCCCAGCACTACTGAGAATCTCTGAAATCAAATCAAATCGAATCTGATTGAAACAAAATTAGAGCCACGGCTTTACCAAACAATGTGTGACCCATTCCGCAGAGAACTCCTGAAAAGATTTTGATTTTGTCATCAATTTCACAAAACCCGGGTACCCTATAAGAAAAGGGGAAATTTGAGGAACATCAAATTCAAGTGAAGGATTTGATAGGGTATTATCCTAGGCTTGCTAGTCATATTAGCACAAGTGTGCCCCACGAAATTTCACTCTGCAAACTCACCCAAATATGAAAACAAAAAATCCTCCAAGAATAGATGTGATTAAACCGCACCCCTCTACTCACGCCGTACTTCTCAGAAAACGACTACACCCACTCTCTCCCTCTATTGTTTTTTCAAGAACCACTAGGCTATCGTTTCTTACCAGAAAAAGGTGTTAATCTATATGGACACCACCCACATTTGATATTGTGACATTGTATGTTTGGTTATCCCTCAATCTTTGTTTCAAGCATTGGTATGGGTCTTCGTACTATTGAGGGTTGCCAAATTATTTTGCCTATTGATGACTTGTCATTAATTTTGAGAGCAGAACTATTTTTTATTTCGGTTAGAATACTTTTTAGGATGGATTCATATATATGGTCGATACTTCACTATCGTCCCTAGCATAATATATAGCCGATGAATACTTCCAGCCATTGTGGTATGAGAATAACCCACATGAACATCGCACTGATGGCTTCAACGTCCGGGCGGCATGGTATATGCATGTTGGATAATTAAATTCACCTCATGAAAGTGATAATATGATGAATCGGCATGCAAATATGTTCAACACATTAGTGCTGATTTTATTTATCAGGTCAAAGTTGTTTTGAGCCTTATTGCCGATTATAGTGCTTTTACATCAATGATCAAGTCAAATAGGAAGTTTTCT